AGGGGAGAAAGGAAGCAAAACACACTGCCATGTGTGTACCTATGCAACTGTCTTGCATGTTCTGCACATATACCCCAAAACCTAAAATGCAATAAAAAATTTAAAAAAGAAAAATAAGATGGAGTTAGGAGGGGTGTTGATTGGGCAATGCATGTCTGGAAGTCCTATTTGACTCTATTTTGTATAGTGGCATCTTTTTTTTTTTTTTTTGAGACGGAGTTTCGCTCTTGTTACCCAGGCTGGAGTGCAATGGCGCAATCTCGGCTCACCGCAACCTCCACCTCCTGGGTTCAGGCAATTCTCCTGCCTCAGCCTCCCGAGTAGCTGGGATTACAGGCACACACCACCGTGCCCAGCTAATTTTTTGTATTTTTAGTAGAGATGGGGTTTCACCATGTTGACCAGGATGGTCTCGATCTCTCGACCTCGTGATCCACCTGTCTCGGCCTCCCAAAGTGCTGGGATTACAGGCTTGAGCCACCGCGCCCAGCCCTAGTGGCATCTTTAAGGGAGCTTGTTTTGCCACATCTCTATCCTCTTCAGTGAGAGCTCCTCAAAGTAGATCAAGAAAATGGAGGGTTTCTTTAAGAACATAATTCTCAAAAAATCTAAAAGCAGAAACTTGAAAGCACCTGGGTCTGAGGAGGCCTAGAACACTAAAGGTAAAAAGGAGGTCACCTTTTTTATTTCCAGGTGGCCACCTTGTCTCTCTTCTTTCCATTCTTACTGTTTCCATCTGCCTTCCATTTATTCACCTCACAGTTGACCTCATAAGATTATACTAGGACTGAGGCTTTGCAGGCTTTATGCTTGTCCTCCCATAGCTAATGAGCTCAGCCTCTCATTGTCCCATTTGCAAATATTTCGTAAGAAAATTTATCTACCTGACTTGTGTTTGATGGCAACCTCTAGGCCTATCATTTCTCTGACTGAAGGTGGGATCATGAAATTCAGCTCTATTTTGGCCAGTCATTCCAGCTTCTGGGAGAAGGCCATATCCAGAGGAGATGCAGGAGAGACTCATCCATTATATAAGTGCATCTCGTATAGCCCATCTGTGTTTCAATGACTCCAAGGATTTTCAGGGTCTTGGTACCTTTAAAGAATCTGATGGAAAATACAAATCATTTCATCTTATAAATCTCATGATAGACACTCAACACTTTTCATGTAGTTTAGGTGGGTTCATGAACCTCCTGAAATTTGTTTTACATGATTTGCAGTGTTTGGAATACAAACACAACTACAAGATATCCAAATAATGCCAAATAATTGAACACTGTAAGAATAGAATTTGAAACTGTGAAGTCTTCCCATGCAGTTGATACTGTGTTGGGTCTAATAAGAAACAGAATGTGGACTGAGACAGGATTTCTTCCTTCAGGGAGCTCACAGTCCATTAAGTGCAGATGTAGACAACTACATCTAATGCAAGACACCCTGCACTATAGCAGCAAGGTAAGTAATGTGTTGTGGGAACTCAGAAGGGAGAATGATAAATTTTGAACACAATACAACACTTCAGAAGTTAGTATTCCTCTGAATGCAATCTGATAGCATATATCATCATCATTTTAAGAAAACCTAGATAATGCAGAAAAGCTTTTTGGGGGGATCCTCATACACAGTACTACTATCCAAGCTTGTATTTCAGGGCTCCTATTTTGCTCTTTTATTTTTTGAGATCCATCATGCTGTAATATGCTATGGAGCAGAGAACACAGGGCTTCACAATCAGACACACGTCAGTTTCCAGTGCGATTCTGTCACTCACTAACTGTGGGTCTTTAAGCAAAGGAAACAACTTTTCTGAGCTTCAGTTTCTTCACTGGTAAAATTTACCTGTTTTTCTTTTTAATTTTTTTATTGCATTTTAGATTTTGGGGTACATGAGCAGAACATGCAAGACAGTTGCGTAGGTACACACATGGCAGTGTGTTTTGCTTCCTTTCTCCCCTTCACCCACATTTGGCATTTCTCCCCAGGCTATCACTCCCCACCTCCCCCTCCCACTGGCCCTCCCCTTTTCCCCCCAATAGACCCCAGTGTTTAGTACTCCCGAAGTAAAAATCATGTTTATAAACACTTAGCACAACCTCTGGACCCTAATAGATGTCTTACAATGGTAGCCATAAAATTGTTTTTATTTAGAATTGCATATGCAGATTCTCTGTCAGAAATATTAAGAGTCTCTAATATGGAAAAAAATAGCATATTCTGTGTAAGGACCCTGTATGTATTAGGTATTGCTGCAATAATCCTGTGTAACAACCCACCCCCAAAACTCAGCAGATTATATTATGAGGCATTTATTCTCCTCATTCATGAGTCTGTAAGTTGATTGTCATTAAGCTGATGTAGGTGGGCTCAGCTGAGCTAGTTCACTGTAGTATGTAGATAAGTTGATCTTGATTCACTTTTGGCTTTGATTCAGGTCTACTCCACATTTCTCATCTGAGGACAGGATGAATGGACAGATTGGATGTATTCTCGTTGTGAGTCACAGAAAGCAGAGACATAGAGCAAGCCCGGCTGTGCAAGCATTATTGAAGTCTATAGTTAACATCTCTTTGGGCAGAGAAAATCACATAGGAAAGCCCAAAATTAAGGGGTGACAAAGTATACACCACCACTATGAAGCCAGCAGTTCAGTCTGCCACAGTTGCTGTGTAAAAGAAAGGCAAGAAACTACAATAGGCATGAGAGAGAACAAAGAGGTAGAATCCAGATGCACAGAGATGCAATTTTACCTCTCTCCACTACCTGCAGCCTCTTATGAACTCTATAGCCACATTCTGCTTTGGATACCGGAATACAGAGAGAACTCCAAGCACTGAAGCTTCTGCCTTCTGTGACCTGAAGGCACAATTTCCTCAGCACTGACCATAGTCTATGTGTGCCCCTTCTTTGTGTACCGAAGCGATGGGTTCTGATACCAACCACCCAGAATTAGGCTAAACTTTGCAGATTAAGGGTACAGCTTCCATAAGAATGCCCTTACTTCAGACACCAGCCACATGTTCGGGGCTGTCTATACCACCTGAACTTCTAATTAGTTGGTTACAAACTTAGAAGTTCCCATCACTCCCTCATGTTCAATAATTTGCTACAATTTACAGAACTCAGGAAAGTGTTACACTTATGATTGCAGTTTTAATACAGCAAAAAAGATATAAATCAGAACCAGTCAAAGGGAGAGACACCTAGGGCAAGGTCTACTGGTCTTAAACAAGAAAGACACTTCCATTGTCCTTTCCCTGTGAAGTCAGGATACCTTACCCTGAAGGGTGGTAATCATCGAAGGGTGACAATATACAGAGTACTACCAACCAGGGAAGCTCTACCGAGCTTTGGCGTCTGGAGTTTTTATTAGGGTTTCATTATGTAGATATGATTGATTGAATCATTGGCTGTAGGGTTGAACTCAGTCTCTAACCCCACTCTACTATCTGGAGGTCAGGCTGATAGCATGTAGATCAAAGCCCCAACCCTCTAATTACACAGATGGTCTTTTGGACATTCACCGGGCCCTTCCTGAGTCATCTTAACACAACCCCCCCTTATTCCCACCATGAGTCACCTTGTTAGCATAAACTCTCAAGGCCCATCATGCATAAAAAAAAATTCCTATCACTCAGGGCATTTCAAAGATTTAGAGGATACATCCCAGGAAAAGCCAGCCAACTTCTTTATTACACAATCTGTATCTTTCACTTCAAACTCTTTGAAGGCAGGTGGGATGTCCTTCTCATCTCTGCATATCCCACAGACTGTAGCCCAGAACGCTGCCAGGAACACATTGATTGGATTGGTATAGGTAAGGACTTATCATAGAGCTCTAGGATAAAAGAGTCGAAAGGGCCTTTGGATACTATGTAGACATTCCAATACACTCATTTTATATGTGAGAAAATGAAGGATCAAGGAGTTTACATGATTACCCCCAGAACACGTATCAAACAAACCAAAGACATACTATAGAGTTTTATCATCCCAGTTGGGCACCAATTCCCCACCACCCTACCTGTACATGCATAAATACAAATTTAAACATACACACTCTACTTTTTCCCTTACATCAAAGGAACCAGTGATAAATTGTGAGAAGGGAAGAGACAGGTATAAGACAGAAACTGAAACATCACTATAATATCAATCTTTAATTCAAATTCCTGTCCCCCTCATGCTTCCATCCTGCTCTGCCTTGAGAAGCAAATACATTTCATTTTCATCAGCATATTAGAATCTGTAGCTACTAAGAAAGATATAGTCATATTTTTAAATTAGTTCTGAGTTTTAATTTCTGTTCATTTGCAAACTCTTTAAACTAAAGAAAAAAGTCCTGGAATCAAAAATACAATATAGTTTAACACTTTCATCTAGAAGCAATATTTTTAATGAGTTCTTTGTCTTAACTTAATGCAATATACATCAGCAGTCCCTCATTCACCTGTGTATCCAGAGAGAAACTTAACACACCTCTAGCATCTATCATAGTGCCTGGCACATTGACATGCTCAGAGAAAGTTGGCTGAATAAATAACAGAGTGAGGTTTTTTTTTTAATTATCCAGCATATGAAGATGAATCTAGCTATATTCCTCCTTCTTCTCCTCATTCTAACTCTCCGCTTTCCTGTTGTCACTGACACATAATACTAGTACTGCTTATCTCATGCGGAAGGCCATTTCCCTCTTTTACACACAATTTCTGGTCAGTCTGGTTATGGAGAAAATATTTGCACCATGTGATATGGTAAATATCTTGATTACGTAACTTTCTAACCCACTATTTTTTACTTCTGAAGTTGAGGACAGCATGGAGAAGATAAAGACTGGTAGAATTGGGTGTGCAACCAGGCAATGTGTTTACCTTAGGTGTAAATCTTCTGTTCATGTTTGCTTATTCTGAATCCCAATGCCAGAGTCAAGATAATATGCGTCTCAACCTTTTATCCTCAATGATAAAATTGTAATGGGGAAAAACGCATTTGTCTTTCAGTGAGTTCAACCCATGCCTACCCAAAGCTGGCTCCGTATAGACCAGCAGGACAGCTCCTTTCTCCCCCTTTACTGCTGTCGGTATTTCTGAATTCCTGTTTCTCCTGCATTGTGCAGATCTGTGCATTTCTCTACGTGAAGCAGCAGCCTTGGTATTGTGAGGTCTACCAGTACAGGTAAGTCCATTTTCTTAGTGCTCCTTTCAAAAGGCGACTTAATGAATATCCAATGACATTGCATAACTTGGCTTGAACATATATCCTAAAACTTAATAAAATCGTGTCTCCACACTGCAAAACTCAAATGATAGGACAGATCACAGTTAATCCATGGACTACTGGGGTGGAGTGGGTGGTAAGAGATTTGTCACATTGGTTGTTAGTGTATAGATCTAACAACTGGTTGACTGAATGAATATATGAATTCCCTGGTAGTTTGTATATTTTATAGACCGGGGTTGGCAAACATTTCTTGCAGAGGGCCAGGTAGTAGGCTTTGTGGTCTACATGGCCTCTGTTGCAGCTAGTCAACTCCACTGCTGCAGCACAAAAGCAGCCAGAGGGCTGGGTGTAGTGGCTCGTGCTTGTCATCCCAGCACTTTGGGAGGCTGAAGTGGGTGGATCACAAGGTCAAGAGTTCAAGACCAGCCTGGCCAATATGGTGAAACCCTGTCTCTACTAAAAATACGAAAATTAGCCAGATATTTTGATGTGCACTTTTGGTCCCAGCAACTCGGGAGGCTGAGACTGAAGAACTGCTTGAACCCAGAAGGCAGAGGTTGTAGTGAGTCAAGATGCGCCACTGACTCCAGCCTGGGTGACAGAGCGAGGCTCCATCTTAAAAAAAAAAAAAAAAAAAAAAGCATCCACAGACAATAGGTAAATAAGTGGGTGTGGTTGTCTAATAAAACGTTATCTACAAAATCAGGTGATGAATCAGATTTGGCCTGTGGGCTGTAGTTTGCAGGCCCCTGATATAGACATACAAGAGAGATTAGCTTATTTTGCTTTTTTCAAATGAATGTTAAAGTTAAAATGTTAATCGATGTTATCATTGTTCTGATCGAGTTGGAACATTAGATTCAGGACAAGTCTCTTTACCTCTCTGGGCTTTAATGTTCTGAGGTAGGCTCTAATGCTGATGGCTCAAGCTTTATTTGACAAAGCCACTCTGCCGGTAAAAGAAAAGGCAGGAAAAGAGCTGCTCTCTTTGAGACAGGACATGTGCAAACTGCCCCTCACTCCACAGAGCACCAGATATCAGTAAAACATAGATTGAAAACTAGCAAATGAGGAGATTGTCATTTAGATTTAAAAATCCAGCAATTCAATTGTAACTAGGAATATAGGATCTCATTATGTTTCAAAACTAAATTTTTTCCAAAACTGGAGCACATATACTCAGAGAACTTAAGTTTTGACTGAACCTAGAAGACAATATGTTGTAGCCAAAGGAGGATGGATGGGAAATCAGGAATCCTAAGAATTCCTGACTCTGTCACTAGATGTGCCGTGCTAGCCTTCAACTTGATTACCTGTAATGTAAGTACATCGGACTAGGTACTCTTTGGTTTTAAACTCTGTATTTCAGGCCATCTAGTCTGTCTGTTCCTCTTTGTGTAAAAATGCCTTGTGACTATAGAACAGCTATTATAGGCCTACCTCAGAGTGGGTTTGGCTCCAGACTACCACAATAAAGTGAATATTGAAATAAAGCAGGTCACATGAAGTTTTGGTTTCCCAGTCCACAAAAAATTATGTTGACACTATACTGTAGTCTATCAGGTGTGCAATAGCATTATGTCTAAAAAAGGACATGCCTTAATTTTAAAATGATTTATTGCTAAAAAATGCTAATGATCATCTGAGCCATCAGCAAGTCATAATCTTTTTACTGGTGGAGAGTCTTACTTCAAGCTGGGTGGCTGCTGATTGACTGAGGTATTGGTTGTTGAAGGTTGGGGTAGCTGTGACAATTTCTTAAAATAAGACAACAATGAAGTTTGCCTCATTGACTGATTTCCTTTCATGAGATATTTCTCTGTAGCAAGTGATGCTGTTTAATAGCATATTATCCCGTCTCAGTGCTTGCAAAATTGGAGTCAGTTCTCACAAACTCTGCTGATGGTTTGTCTACTAAGTTTATATCATATCCTATATCCTTTGTTTGCATTTCAACAATGTTGAAATGATGGAATCTTCACCAGGAGCACATTCCATCTCAAGAAACCACTTTCTTTGGTCAACCGTATGAAGCAACACTTCATCCATTCAAACTTTATCATGAGATTGTAGCAATTCAGTCACATCTTCAGGCTCCACTTCTAATTCTAGTTCTCTTGCTATTTCCACCATATCTACAGTGGAAAATATCCTCCACTAAAGTCTTGAACTCCAAACAGTCATCCATGAGGGTTGAATCAACTTCTTTCAAACTTCTGTTAATGTTGATGTTTTTATCTTCTCTCATGAATCATGAATGTTTTTAATGGCATCTAGAATGGTGAATTCTTTCCAGAAGGTTTTCAATTTGCTTTGCCCAGATCCAATAAAGGAATCATTCTCTATGTCAGCTATAGTCTTACAAAGCATATTTCTTAAAAAATAAGACTTGAAATTTGAAATTACTCTTTGATCCATGGGCTACAGAATAAATGCATATTAGCAGGCATGAAAATATACATTTCCTTATACATCTCCATCAGTGCTCTTGGAGGGTGACCAGGTGTTCTGTCAATAAACAGCAATATTTTGAAAGGAACCTTTTCTTTTTTTCTGAGCAGTAGGTCTGAACCGTGGGTTTAAAATATTCAGGAAACTATGCTATAAACAGATGTGCTGTCATCCAGGCTTTGTTGTTCCATTTCTAGAGCATCAGGCAAAGTAGAGTTAACATAGTTCTTAAGGGCCCTAGGATTTTCAGAATAGCAAAAGAAAAAGACCACTGGCTTCAACTTAAAGTCACCAGATGTATTATCCCCTAATAAGAGAGACAGCTTCTCCTTTGGAGTTTTGAAGCCAGTTATTGACTTCTCTCTAGTTAAAAAGTCCTATAAGACATCTTCTTCCAATAGAAGGCTGTTTCATTTCCCCTGAAAACTGTTTAGTATAGTCACCTTCATTAATTGTCTTAGTTAAAACAACTGGGTGACTTGCTGCAGCTGCTACATCAAGACTTGCTGTTTCACCTTGAACTCTTACATATGTAGACACCTTCTTTGTCTGTCTTATGAACCAGTATCTTGCCAGTTTCAAACTTTTCATCGGTAGCTTCCTCACCTCTCTCGGGCTTCAATAATTGAAGGGAGTTGGGGCCTTGCTCTGGATTAGGCTTTGGCTTAAAGGAATGTTGTAGCTGGTTTGATCCACTATCCAGACCACTGAAACTTTCTTCATATCAGCAATGAGACCATGTCACGTCCTTATCATTCATGTATTCACTGGAATGACACTTTGAATTTCCTTCAAGAACTCTTACTTTGCATTTACTGCTTGGCTAACTGTTGGATGCAAGAGATCTAGCTTTTGGCCTATCTTGGCTTTTGACATGCCTTCCTCACTAAGCTTAAATATTTCTAGTTCTTTATTTAAAGAGAGAGACATGAGACTCTTCCTTCCACTTGAACACTTAGAGGCCACTGTGGGGTTATTAACTGAATAGATTTCAATATTATTTTCTCTCAAGAAACAGGGAGGCCCCAGGAGAGGAAGAGAGATATGAAAACAGCAAGTGGGTGAAGCCGTCAGGCACACACATGATTTATTTATTAAATTTGCATTCTTAAGGCACAGTTCATGGCATCTTGGCATCTCAAAACAATTATAATAGAAACACCAAAGATCACTGATCACAGATCACAGTAATAGCGGTAGTAACTATTTCAAAAAGTTTAAAATAATTGCAAGAATTACCAAAATGTGACACAGAGTCAGAGTGAGCACATACTATTAAAAAATGGTGCAAATAGACTTGCTAGATGCAAGGTTGCCATAAACCTTCAATTTGTAAAAAACACAATATCTGGGAAGCACAATAAAGTGAAACACAATAAAACAAGGTATGCCTGTACGTGCAATGCACATTTCTAGACTACAGGGGCCCAGGATAATAAGCACTAAGTCTTGCATTTGAGTTTACAGTTAGAAAATGAATCTTATTTATAAACAGTTGTAATTGCGGTTTAAAAGTTTCCAGCTGAACAAGAATGCTGGTGGAAACTAATTTATAGGTATGATTATTGAAAAGAAAAGAACATTGTAAATAGATCAATCAGGACCAGGAAAGCTCATATCTTAAACAAATGTATTTTTGAGTAAATATGATGTGACCTCACTGTGCTAGGTGCCAAAAATTTATTGTAAATTTGAGTAAAACCAAAAAACAAAACCACAGGAAAAATCCTATATTCTAGGAACTCACATCCCAAAGACATAAAATAAAATTATGTAAATAAGAAATGCAAAGCAATGAGCTTGCAAAAGTAATTGTTTTGCAATTCTTTATTTACATGTGCTGTTGCCTTGAATTGAGATAACATTTTAAAAATCTTACTTTTGTGGGCACTAGTTCCACCTGCCAGCAAAAGTAAAGGCATTTCAGATGCAGAGATGTTTGAAGGATGGATGTTATACCTCATTAAAGGCAAAAGTACATCCAACCCAACAGGTATGCAAATTGTGATATGTGGGGAACAGGTAATAATCCTATGTTTTGGGGTGTATAGAGTATGAGAGAGGTGACAACGGTTAGACTGAAAAGGTAGATTGAGACAAGGATGCAAAGATCTCATAGGCCAGTTGGAGAAGTTTGAGCTTAATTTATTGGCAAAATAGAGTTGTAGACCCCTTATAAGCAGGAGATTGTCATGCTCAGATTTTTAGAGATCCTTTAGCTATGCGAGGGAAGAAAATTGGAGTGGGAGACTCAAACTCAAAAGCCAAGTTAGGAGTCTTGCTTAGTCCACGAAAGATGAGAGAACAACACACACACACACACACACACACACACACACACACACACACACTTATTTGACATGGTATATTTACTGTTTGAATTGAGAGGAATTCATAAAAAATTGTCATCCAGGCCCTTTCAAGGTAGATCACTTGTGCTAAATGAAGTGCTGGACAAAAAACAATCTTGACTTCCTGTGAATTTTATTACTGCTTTGTCACAGCAAGAGGTGAACAAAATAGGTCTTGGTAGTTATTGGTTGACATAGTTCGAAAGCTAAAATCCCATGGTGGTGATTAGTTTTTTTCACCTAATGGATAAAAATTGAATAAGATGTTTCATAAACATTGGTGATTCTTTTGTAGTGAGTGTTTTCTGGCCAACCAAAGTAATTTTTCAACAAATGTGAGTTTGGAAAGAAACTGGACTGGAAATGCAACTCTGATTCCTGGCTCAATTTTAAGTTTTGAGAGTACCACACTGTGGCCGATCACCACCATCAACTGTATCACAGTAGCATTTATCTTTTCTAAGGGAAAGCCATTTCGAAAACCCATCTATACAAACTGTAAGTATATAAAGTTTGATTTTTCTTTCTGAATATTTTCCCATTCCTTTTCTCACCCTAGAGTTGCACCTCACTGGTGAAATGATGGGCTGAGAAAGAAACAATTGCACGACTCTGAAATTGTTGAATGCAGTTGTCATAGTTGGTAGAGCCCATGGGAGAAATCTGCTCCTTTGCAGATAAGCACAGACATTATTTAACTGTCACATGAGTCTTGTCCTATTGTAAGTCATCAAGAATCATTTGGACACATACATGTATGTGAAGATATTTTATAAAAGTCTTTCTAACCAATTCAAATGTAAATTGACTTCCTTAGCCTTATAACATTTGGCAAGTTACTCTAACCATTCTATAACCTTATTTCCTCATCTGCAGAATGGGAGGGAGTATCCTTAATTTGTTAAATCCTGAGAGAAGAATAAAGCATTTTATTGAATGGGCCCAGCACAATTTATGTAAAGGGTCTGGCACTTATAAAAGGGAGTCAAAAATTCTTATTTACTTTTCCAGTATAGTAATTTAAGTAGTGTTTAAACACACACACACACACACACACACACACACACACACACACCCCTCTTCAAAGCTACAGTTAAGATCCTCAGGCTAAGGCTGGGAATGGTGGATCACTCCTGTAATCCCAGCACTTTGGGAGGCTGAGGTGGGAGGATCACTTGAGCTCAAGAGTTTGTGACCCTATCTCTTAAAAAAAAAAACTTTTACAAATTAGCTGGGTATGGTGGCTCTTACCTGTAGTCCCAACTACTTGGGGAGGCTGAGGTGAGAGGATTGCTTGAGGCTGGGAGGTTGAAGCTTCAGTGAGCCAGGATCACACTACTACACTCCAGCCTGGGGGACAGAGCAAGACCCTGTCTCAAAAAAAAAAAAAAAAAAATCCTCAAGCCAAAGAAGCCAGAGAATATGCCCCATCTTTATTGACCAGACTGGGACACTCTTTAGGAGTGAAGTGAAATACTACTAGTAATTATGCCAGGCTTAAACAGAGAATGTCAAGGCAAACTACATACATGATACTTATCCAGAAATTGCATGACAAAGATGGTCACCCTGTGTACCGTGCAATTGGCTTCAGTATTATAAATAATGCCATAAAAATATACTTGTGCAAATAACTTTGACTTAGCCTATTTCATTAGGATAACAAAATTCAATTAACTAAAAATGTCAAAGCCTTGAATACACAATTTAAAGCTGCCTTCTTGAAAATTTGTACTGATTTTCACTCCTATCAGTTGTTTTTGAAAGGGTATCGTTCTTAATAATATATCCATCATGAAGTACTAGTTAAAAAAACAAAATCTGTGCTGATCTGATAAGATTTTAGAAAGTAGTGTCTCATTTGGTTTTAGTTTGCATTTTTCTGATCACCAGTGAGGAGAAACATATTTCCATGTTGTTAGCAATTTCTTCTTCTGTGAATTGTGTGTTTACATTTTTAAACTTATCTTTTTCTGTTGGATTCCTGTTACATTTCTCATTTATTTGTATAAGCTATTTATTTTTCATTTTTTTCTATTGTCTTTATGCACAGAAGGATTTTTTTCTAATTATAAAATAGAATAGATTATCATGTTTAGTTTTAAAGTTTCTTTTGATGCTACTAAAATCTAATGTTAATTTTGGTGTAAAGTTTGAAGTAGGGATTAAAACAAGTTTCTCCAACTAGCCAACCAGTTTTCCCAGCAGCTTTTGTTGTCTATTTACTTTTTAATATTCATTAAATTACTTTTCCACTGAATATACTATCTTTATCATAACTATCTTCATAAATGAGTTTTTATGTACATCATTTATATTATGTATTCTTTGTATATATATATATATAGTTTCCAGACTATCTTTTCTGTTTTTAACACATCAGTCTATTTTTTATTTACCACTACACTTTAAAACTTACAGTTTTATAATGTTTTATTTAAGGAATGGTAAGATCAGTGTGTCCTCATTATTCTTCTTTTTTTAAAATGTGTTTCTTTCTTTCTCATTCATTCTTCAAGATACACTCTAGAATAAATTGCCAGGCTTTTAAAAAGTTCCCTTTGGGATGCTGATACTTTGGGAAGAATTTACATGTGTATATAATTTAGTTTTCCCATTTAGGAATGCGTCATGTCTCCCATTTACTCTTGCTTTTTTTTTTTAATGCCTCTTAGTAAGTATTTGTTGTTTTCTCCATTACAAATCCTGCCTACACATTTATTTAAAAACGAATCCTTTGTATTTTATATTTTTGCTTACATTGTGAATGACTTTCCAATTATATTTTCTGTTTATCACTAATACACAGGAAATGTATAGTGTTATACATTAATTTTTTTAGTAATAAATGTATTTTACAAGCAGGATATATTTGTTGGCTAGTACTTTAATTTTAATAGTAACTGCGAAGTCCTTTTACATGAATTGAGTGAATTAGAGGTAGATTAGTTACTTCATAATGACTTAAAGCTTATGGGTAAACTCAAACCCCTGTACCAAACATAACTTGATAATTTTAAATGTAAAATATTTCACATTTTAGCATACAGATATGCTAACAAATGAAATATGATAGCAACATATACCCTCTGGTTATAAGTCAAAAAAGCCTTTGGAACTACTATTAAAATATACAAGCAACTTTATTTGGATATAACAGAAAAATCTTTGCTGTTTTTAAGAGCCTTTGACAGATGCTCAACTTTATGATGACAAGATATGGAAAAAGTAGAGGCTTAACTTTTCTGGAAACAAGTGTGAACATTTACTAACCTTATCTGAAAATAAAGTATAATGGCTTACACAGGGCTTGCTTTCCTAAAGCACCTGCATTAACAGAGCCCGACTTTCAAACGTTTCCTCAGCAGCAGCAGCAGCTAACCAAGAGCCAACATTCAACTCTTTATTACATCTTTTCAATCAAAGCTGAATTTAAGAAGATGGCCTTATAACTTTGTCTCTATATTGCTCACTTGTGCACAGGAGAGGCCTGCTTTTTAGACCATTAGACACCAATGTGCATACCATGCAGCCCCAGTTGCTAGTGAGATCCAGGCCTTCATAAGAACAGACTTTTCAGGTATCCTCTTCTTCCAAGCTTCTGGGTCCCTGGGACTCCAAATCCATGAAGTAAATGAAAAATCCACTTAGCCATTTCCTGGGATCTTATCACCAGGCCATTTAGATTGCCTTACTTGGAGGGATGTAATTCCTACTTTTCTTCTCTCTGCCTCATACCCTTCCCAAGCACTTCTGAGAGGTGCTACATTTATTTATATACATAAAGTGGGGCATGAATAAATATTGAGGGTGGGTGTAGGTGCTCAAGGATGAAAACAGAACTCTGTTCACTTCAAAAATAGGGTCTGCTATCAAGGGGCAGTTGCCTGAGATTTCTGGTTGGTATAGGCCTATAGAGAGTTGGGAGTGGGGAGAGTAGACCACCAACACTGAATAAATGAGGTAGAGAGAGTGTAAGAGAAAACGTAGTTCGTTCATTTATTTATAGCTTCATAGGATTATCAGAATCATTTGTATCATGGCGACACTGATTAAATGCTATTGTTTGGGCCTGAAGGTGATAATTCTATTTAAAAATATCATTTCTAAGGTACCATCTCTAAAGTGCTCTGCTAAATTCTCTGACAGAGGAGTGGGTGAGGTTGAGAATAGGAGCAGTATGTTGGCACAGTGCATCCTGGGAAGTTTAGTTCCCCAAATTAAAACAGTTTGGGCAGATTGGAAAGAAGGAATGCAATAACAGATGTACATGCGAATTTCTCATTTACTTTTTCAAGACCGAGTTCCTGAGAACCAGAGAAAAAGCCTCTTTCAAATGGTAACAGTTTAGTTGATACATGACTTAAGATCATGCAAAGCAGAGTATGATACATGCTATGGTAAATAAGGTTTTGTAAGGGAGTATTAGTCTTTGAAAAGGAAGTGGTATTTTAACTGAGTTATTTAAGAAAAATTGGAGTATGACAAGACAGAATATTATGTACACTTGGCATTTTTTTAAAAAAAAGACACAGAGCTGGAAAGTGTTGGGCCTCCATGGAAGCTGGACGTTTTATGGTCTACCTTTCCTATTACCCATGAGGAAAAGTGGTCAGAGATCAGGTTAGAAACGCTGATTGGGACCAGATTGTGGAAGGCTTTGAATGTCATATAGGACCCGTGAACTTTAGGCAATGAGGAAGAATTAGATGGTGCCAAGAGGACTGACTGTTTATCCCATGCAGGCACAACTCACTAGACATGCAGTGATAGTACACCAGGGAAACTCCTTTGTGGAGGTTACTGTGAAACATTTCATTAACAGTCTTCTACATCCAGACTTTCAAGGGAGGATTCTAAGATATTACCTTCATTTTATAAGCATTAGAGCATATTTCAAAACATACGAGGATATATCAAAACATCTGAAGATATATCTGGTATTTGCCCAACAAAGATAATTGATTCTGCAATGTGTGCCAAATTATATGAAACATTCTTTTAACATCTAAAAATAATGTTTGGTATTTCCTCAGATATATTTTCATTTCTGCTGCTAGCTGCCTTGGGCCTCACAATTTTCATTCTGTTTTCTGACTTTCAAGTTATATACCATGGAATGGAGGTAAGTGGCATTCATTTGTACATCTGGCATGACTCATGTACATGGACCATATAGTCATTGTAATTCACAAGTCAATTATTACCATATTGTCTTTAATCAGCAAGTACTGTGATGCTATTTCTATATACTAGAAGGGCAAATAACATATATGTATTTCACCTATACTGCCTTCTAATGTTTTTCATATTATTAGTATTATTGGGTGCATTTATCCTTTACATACCTGAAATAGTAGAAATGCTTTATCATGCCATGTTATACTAATACAATAAAATTAATGCAACAATACAGTAATTCTCTAAATTCAATTTTCAAAAAGATAAACCATATGGTAGAATTCCTTTATAATGTAGTTACAAAGGGAAAGAAAAAGTAGACTTATAAGATGGTTATGTTTTGTCAGACATTGACTATATGAAGTTTCATATCAGTGGATAACATTTGATCCAGGATGCCCTGGGTTAAAATCTAATTCATTAAGAGGTTATAGAACTAATTCTTGAACTCAGTATTGTGAGAGAAATAAGAGAGAAGAGTTGGCTCCTGACCTCCAAATCATAGATTTGTTGTGAAGATGAGACATACTTGAGTGCTATCTGAGGCTATCCATACTTGAAGATAGGCTAGATTTTGCTAGGTAGGAGGTAGGGATATTCCCAAAACAAGGACAGCCTAAGAAGCACAGACTACTGAAAGAGTTTCTTTTCTCTTAGAAATGCAAATGAATGTCACGTGGCAGAGACAGAAATCAAAAGCAAGGCTTCCCCAAGCCCTAGAAGACTGGCTAAAACTGAGGCCATGGGCTGTGGAGTATGAACAACAATGAATAATAAAAGAAGGCATGGATGGATGAAGTCAACTAGAGAAGTTTAGACTTTATGCCAAGAGCAACAGGGAGTGAATGAAGCTATCTGAGCAGGCTTCTCAGCAGGGCACTGAGAAAACAGATTAATTAGATGATGGCAGGAAGACTACATGTGAGAGGAGAGAGGAGCAATTAGAAAATGAAAACCCGGGGGATCGATCCAAGATGGCCAACCACTAACAGCTCAGGATTGTAGCTTCCAGTGAAAGCCCAGAGAACGAGACGACGCCACACTTTTAGACGAATTTTCGTCACTCACCGATCAGCTGATTCCCAGTGGAGGAGCCCCACGGGTCGCCAGCGCAACTCTTGTGGCCGCCACAGCGGTTTTGCCGGCATCTTGGCGCAGCAGCTCTTCATGCAGAGCCAACGGGACTGCTTCCCCTACTGACCGGAGTTTGGAGCTCCGGGAAGGCAGAGCCGCTTGTTGCGGACTCGGGAGGGAAGCCAGACCAGAGATTCCTGGGCAGAAGAGCACCATCAGTCTTATTGCTGCTATTTAGGCTGCCACAGTGGGTTGCTCGGATCCCAGCACTGGGAATCAATAAGTTGGACGTTGACTCAGAAACCTAATTAGAAAGGCGGGTCATCTACAATGAAGGGGAAAAAACAGCCTAAGAAGGCCGAGTATACTCAAAATCAGAACCCATCAGCAATGGAATAAGCCCTGATGGAAAAGGACTCATCAGCAATGGAGCAAGCCCTGATGGAAAAGGACTGTGTTCCATTATCTGAAGTAGGCTTTAAAAGGTGGATGATAAGAAACTTCTGGGAGTTAAAGGAACTTGTTCTAACCCAATGTAAAGAAACTAAGAACTTGGAAAAAAGGTTCGATGAAATGTTGAAAAGAATAGACAATATAGAGAGGAATACAAATGAACTTATGGAGTTGAAAAATACAACACGAGAACTTAGTGAAATATGTACAAGCTTAAACAGCTGAATGGATCAAGCAGAAGAAAGGGTATCAGAGATCGAAGACCAACTTAATGAAACAAAACGACAAGACAAGAATAGAGAAAACAGGATAAAAAGGAATGAGCAAAGTCTCCAAGCAATATGGGACTATGTGAAAAGATCTAATATACTCTTGATAGGTGTACCTGAATGTGACGGAGAGAATGAATTCAAGCTGGAAAATACTCTCCAGGACATTATTCAGGAAAATTTTCCTAATTTAGCAAAGCAGGACATTATTCAACCCCAGGCAATACAGAGAACACCACAAAGATATTCCTCAAGAAGACCAACCCCAAGGCACATAATCGTTAGATTCACCAAGATCAAAACAAAGGAGAAAATATTAAGGGCAGCCAGAGAGAAAGATCAAGTTACCCATAAAGGTAAGCCTATTAGGCTTATAGCAGATCTTCAACGGAAACCCTACAAGCTAGAAGAGAGTGGGGGCCAATATTCAATATACTTAATCAACAGAACTTTCAGCCCAGAATTTCATATCCTGCCAATTTAAGCTTTACATTTGAAGGAAAAATAAAATCTTTTAGGAACAAGCAAGTACTCAGAGATTTTATTACCACCAGGCCTGCTTTACAAGAACTTCTAAAAGAAGCATTATACACAGAAAGGAACAACCAGTACGACCCTTTCTAAAAATAGACCAAAAAGTAAAGAGCATTAACATAAAGAAGAATTTTTATCAACGAAAGGGCAAAATAGCCAGTTAATATCAAATGGCAGCAACCCTAAATTTAAATCGTCCAAATCTCCCAATCAAAAGATACAGATAAAATCTAATGGTATATCCAAAGATATACATAGACTCAAAATAAAGGGTTGGAAAAAAAAATGTACCAACCAAATGGAGAGCAAAAATAAATAAATAAAAAGCAGGAGTTGCAATTTTCACATTTGACAAAATAGATTTCAAAGCTACAAGGATACAAGGGTAAAAGGATTAATGTAATAATAAGAGATCTTAACACCCAGATACATAAGACCCATAATGAGATTTAGATTCAACGAGACAGAAAATTGATAACGATATCCGGGACTGGAACTAAGATCCAGAACAAATAAACTCAATAGAGCTCTCCATTTTAAACACACAAAATATACATTATCCACAAAATCTAACGATATATCTAAAGATATACAAAGACTCAAAACAAGGGGATGGAAAAAAACTCACCAACCAAATGGAGAGCAAAAATAAATAAATAAAAAGCAGGAGTAGCAATTCTCACACTTAATAAAATAGATTTCAAAGCTACAAGGATGCAAGGGTAAAAGGATTAATGTAACAATAAGAGATCTTAACACCCAGATACATAAGACACATAATGAGATTTAGATTCAACGAGACAAAAAATTGATAACGATATCCAGGACTTGAACTCAGAGCCAGAACAAATAAACACAATAGAGGTCTCCATTTTAAACACATAAAATATGCATTAACCACTTTAAACACTCAAAATATTGATCGGCCATTATTGAAACCCATTTTAGGAATGAAGTAATATTCCTTTTTCCCTCTTTTTCTTTTTTTACCCCTTCTTTTTCTCTTTTTCCCTAAAAAAAAAAAAAAAACTAAAAAAAAGAAAAATGTTTACAAACTTCATAAAAAAAAAAAAAGAAAATGAAAACCCAAGTCATCGTTTATTTCTCAAACACAAAGCTCCAGAGTGAGTTTGATTGCAGAGTTACAAAGATAAATAGGGTGTGGTCAGTGCTCTCAAGTAGTTTAGAAGCTAGGAGAGAAGACCATTGCATGCATAAATAATTCCAGGATCAGGCACTGTGGCTCACACCTGTGATCCCAGCACTCTAGGAGGCCAAGGTGGATCACTTGAGGTCAGGAGTTGGAGGTCAGCCCGACCAACATGGTGAAACCCCGTCTCTACTAAAAATATAAAAATTAGCTGGGCATGGTGGCGGGTGCCTGTAATCCAAGCTACTTGGAGGCTAAGGAAGGAGAATGGTTTCAACCTGGGGGGCAGAGGTTGCCATGAGCTGAGATCATGCCACTGCACTCCAGCCTGGGAGACAGAACGAGACTCCATCTCAAAATTAAATAAATAAACAAATAATTCAAAATCTAGGCCCTTCCAGGTCAAGGGATGAAGAACAGTTCTCCTGGATCAGAGTGGTGGAAGCTGTGAGAAAAAGAGCCATGTTCTCTGCTAGAATATGACCCAGCTTTTCCAAACAACCCTTTACAGTTTGTGGTATTTCACAACTTGATAAAAATTCTCTCCACTTGAGGGAAAAAAAATGACAAAGTACGATTTTGAAATAACCCGTGTCAGGATAGGGGTGAGAATTAAGGATGAGCATTTAGATACTATGGAGGTTCTGTGGTTTTTGTTCTCAAGGGAGTTCAGCCCCACACATACTCAGCCATAGTCTACTCTTGGATGGGGTCTCAGAAAAAAAGGCTGTGTAACTAGCCTTTTGCTATGGATGCAGCCGTGGGCAGTTGTGACTCTCACACTTCAAATAAGTCTATTTAATGATCAATGTGTACCCTTAAATTTTAAAAACTGGTGAATTTGGACGATTCATTCATATTTCATTTAGCCATCAGATATAGGGCCAGAAGCAACCTGCATCTAGTCTTAATCGAAACATACTTAATTTCTCTGTCCTCCTTAAAGAATAAAATCCAGGTAGGATTTGCTTTGGGAGAATTAGAAGTATTAATATTATCTGATCAATAATTTAATCTTAGCCTTCTCTCTGTCTGAAAAGATAAAAATGAAGACACATAGCCTCCAAAATGTCCTGTCTCTTAGTTGTGACTCAGGGCACATTTCTTAATAGACACCGTTAGGTTGTCAAGGGTACACAGGCCAAGAAATAGTCCATTCTTCTTTGAATTCTGGCTCTGTCATTTACTTACCGGCTTTGGGTCCTTCAGTTGTATTATCTGTAAAGGGACAAAGTAATGCCCACATCTAAGCTCAGAGAATTATTATGAAAATATAAATTAAATAATATGGTCTTTTTCAAAGTGTAAAGTATGTAAAATATAATAATGGTATTTGTTTTTCAACAGTTCATCCCAACCATAACATCATGGAGGGTTTTAATTTTGGTGGTAGCCCTCACCCAATTCTGTGTGGCTTTCTTTGTAGAGGTAAAGTAATCTTTGTATTTTTCTAGGAAGACAAATTAAGAATGTCATTTTCAATAGGTGCTTATTTTCTATAGCAACCACTTTGATCCCTCAAAATGATAGTTATTAAGGGTTTATAAAAATGGTACATATTCTTTGGGTGGAAATTTTGTTGGAGAATGATTTAGAATTATTTCAAATCTGCATAGAAATTCTCTTGATATCTTCTGCACAGAAAGCAAAACATGAATTAACTCTAATTTTCCTTCCATGAATACACTGTATTGCACTTTTCTAATAGTCTCAACAATCTAGTAAAGATTAGACAAGGTGACCTTCCAACCCTAAAACTCAGGAAGACTTTTTAGAGTGAAGAACTGCCTTCTGGAGGGTTTCTCTAAGAAAGAGGAGAAGCCATCGCTCATTCTAGTCAATTCCTATTCTTGAAAGACTTTCCCTTAACAGTGTTTCTTTTCTATTCAGTGTCACTAAATGACTTTATCCACTTGGTAAGAGACTCAAGTGCTATCTTTGTAAAAGGGGAGTTCTTTTTTTAACTCATGTGCTTTAAGACTTTTTGGAAAAAGGATCAACCAAATTTTAAATACATATATACCTCATTGTATACAGTATGTGTAAAATGTCTCATACTCTTTAACTCAGGTATTCCATTTTTGAAACTATATGTTTTAATAACCCAAAAGAAGAGAAAAATACCACAAGTATGAAAGCACTTAGCATAATATTATCTACAGTGGCAAAATATTACATTCAACTTAAGTGTTGTTGAGATACTGTTTGTTTAAATAGCTATATAGCAATTTGAGGAAATGCTAAACAATCACTAAAATGATTATTAATCATATTGTACCTATGTTCTTATCTTAATAATATTTTTAAAAGGCTACAGCTACATAAAAATTGTTTACAACAGAAAGCTTAGTATAAATAAAAGTGGGATTCAAAATTTGACCAATTTCATTACTATAAGTTGATAAAAATTGTGTAGACATGTGAACAAAAGAAAGTTCTCAAAAATGAAAACCAATAACCATTTGACTTCTAGAGTTCAACCATGTATTCAATAAACACTTATTTGGCACCTTCTACATGGCAGGTGGCAGGTAGCAGGGCTAATGGTAACTTTTCTTTTCTTCATTTTGAGCACATTATTATTACCATTGCCAACTGGGGGTAAAATCAGTCTTAAGAAAATCACTAGCCAGAACTTAACCAGGAAATGTGTGGAAAGGAAATACTGGAAGCTTTTGGCAGATTTCTGTGCACACAAGCACCCTCTTGCTTCTTAAGGGAAGAATTCCAGGACTTGGGAAAGGGGAGGTAGACACAGCAGCAATAAGTGCACCTCAGAGGAAGGTCTGGGGAAAGGAAGTGGGCTGCGGTGGCCAGCGGCCTGGCTCCAGGGGGACCTGCACAATGAATTGATTGTTTTTCCCACCTGATCTTTCAGGATGCCATCCTTCAAAATCGTGAGCTCTGGCTGTTGATCAAAAAAAAATTTGGATTTTACTCTAAAAGTCAATATAGGACCTGGCAAAAAAAGCTGGCAGAAGATTCAACCTGGCCTCCCACCAACAGGACAGTTTATTCAGGTGATGGCAAAGATGGATTCTACATCAACAGAGGCTATGAAAGCCATGAAAAGATTCCAGAAAGAAAACTCAAATTGGGAGGCCAACCCACAGAACAGCATTTTTGGACCAGGCTGTAACCAGAAATGTTGTCATACATGCCCAACAGCATTGCCTTCTTTCCTCAAAATTAACACATTGTGGAGAAGTGATGATAGTCTCCCCTTATCTTTCCTCTCTCCATTTAAGGACTCAAAACATATTTTCAGTGCATTAAACCTTGCAGCAAAGAACCTTAGATAGGCTTATTCTGACTGTATCCTTTATCAGTGAGAGAAAAAAATTCATTTCCTGCATTATTATTTCCAATAAACTGTATTCATTTTGCATAGCATTATTTTATTTAAAATGAACAGCTTTCATGTTACTGTAGTCAAATTAATAGTATGAATATCAATGGAAAGAAAAAAAAATTGAGGCAACATTTGCCCTTTGCAAGTTTTACTAATACATTGTCACAGTTTACTTAACTCTTTATTTGTGAAGAACATTTACATATATATCTTTTTTTCCCAAGGTTACAGTTCCTCTTTTTGTTTTTCTTGCATGCTTTTCATAGAGAAACAAGAACTAACATTTACTTCAGAAATTCAGTGAATCCTCATCCCTACCTATGGTAAGCCAGAATTGTGTGGAAGTGGTAGAATGAAGGACGTGTTTGTTAATTCCATATAATCTTGGCATGGGCACAGTTAATATATAAGCAAACTCCACCAAAGTTTGGCATCTCTCTAGGTATAGCATTTTGGGGCCAGTGAATAGGAAAGTTTAGAGTAGATCACAAAGGTAATGAAATTAACTGTAAAAACGTACTTTTACTTAAAGAAACATGGCAACATTATTTACTGTTTGTTACTGACACATGGAAACCTCAAGCTTTTTTTTTTTTTTTTTTTTTTTTAAGGTGGAGTCTCACTCTGTCACCCAGACTGGAGTGCAGTGGCACAATCTTGGCTCACTGCACCCTCCACTTCCCGGGTTCAAGCGATTCTCCTGCCTCAGCCTCCCAAGTAGCTGGGATTACAGGCATGTGCCACTGCACCCGGCCTCAAGCTCTAACTTTAAAAGTTGTCCAGAACTCAACATACTCATCTTAATAACAATGTTGGAAAAGGGACTCATAATATTTGTAATGGCAGCATGACAATTTCCAGGCTACTAAATAACCGTAAGTTCTAGTTCATCTTGTAATGATCTAAGTCATCTTATTAGGCGCACATTAAATACCACATGAAAGGGTGCATCCTTTACAAATATATTCTGTACACTATTACCTTTAATATATATATCACCCTCACCATAACATTGAGAGAAAATTTATTTCTAGTGAACATTTTAAATAACCTATTAGACTTCCCTTATAACAATAAATCTAATTTTGCTAATTTAACAGATCCATATCATAGGCAATTAGTTAACCAGTCCCATTACATGAGTGCCAATTAAGTGCCTAATACCAGGATGTACAGATTCAATAGATGATAGCCTTGAGCTTATAATTCTGAAATCTTTAGGAATGATAAATGTCTTCAACATGAAATATGCTACTGTAAATCATTAAAAATGTTACACAAACCAGCAGCATAAATGCAAATTCTTATTAAAACAATCCCTCTGTGTTTACATTTTGTTTGCTTTTTAACCTTTTCTTGTGATCACAGCTCTCCGGAGAGTAGTAATTTCTAAAATGTGCATAATTTAGTGGCTACCAGTAACAAGACAAACGTTATAAAAAGAAGAGATTTTTAGCTTATGATTATAAACTATACATCAACCTTAAAGATGGTAGTCCAAATTCCTTGAACTGATATCTGCATTTAGTAATGACTTTTAGAATCAAAAGATTTAATTGATGCACTATATAACATTTACATAGCATAAAAAGATTTTTTTAAAAATAGATTCAATAATTGTATAGGATTTTCCCTCCAGATTTTCCTACAACCTGTAAGGTTTCTAGTGGATGATGATCTTTATTTCATAATTTTTGTTCTTGGAATGTGATAAAGTTGAACTCCATTCCTGACTGCTAAAAATATGCTCAGAGAAAGGTTTAATAGCCTTGAGAAAAATCATTTCATAAAAGCACAATGAGGCCAGGTGTGGTGGCTCACGCTTGTAATCCCAGCACTTTGGGAGGCCGAGATGGGCAGATCATGAGGTCAGGGGTTCAAGACCAGCCTGGCCAACATATTGAAACCCCAACTCTACTAAAAATAAAAATAAAAAATTAGTTGGGTGTGGTGGTGGGCGCCTGTAATCCTAGCTACTGAGGAGGCTGAGGCAAGGAGAATCACTTGAACCTGGGAGGCGGAGGTTGCAGTGAGCCGAGATTGGGCCACTGTACTCCAGCCCCAGAGAGAGTGTGAGACTCTGTCTCAAAAAAGCATAATATCAAATAATCACCTATAGAAAAAACAAGCTGGACAGTCTTAAGCTGGTCATCAAGAGTCATCATTTTTTATGGGAAACTGATGACTAACTTTGTGAACTTACCTCTAATGGTGAAAACTACTGCACCCTCAAACACTATCAATGTGAACCTGACATGTATTCAATTTAAAAGTGCATTTGTGACATTATCTAGCACAGACAGTACTGTCTTCTGGAGTGGAGACATCCAGAGTTCTCTAGAAAGGCTGCACTTGAGGCTCTCAGGAGGTTCTTGATTTCAAATTTTGCTCCTTCTCCCACCGGTGGTTGTAGTAATTCTACCACACCTAATTCTCCTGCTTCAGGTTAAGATTTGCCCTCTGTAGGCATCCTTTATTAAGAAGTAAGCATACCTTGGGAAAGGTGGCACATGCTACTGCCATCTCATCTTAATTTGACAATCCTAGAAAATTGTTTTGGTTGTAATTGTTTAACTATTACTTGGGAAGAGGCATAAAAGGAACAGAGACTTGAATTTAGAGTAAAAATGAAAGCGTAATTTTAGACATTAGTTCATGATAGGAGACACTCACACCTCCCCAGAAGACCAGTGGAAGAAGAGAGTGTTTTGGGGTTACTGGAGATAGAGTTGGTACCATAAGAAAGGGAAGGAATTAGTGAAAAAGAAGGGAAGAGATACAGGGTCTCTGTGGCTCTGAGTGCAGCAGACAACTCCTTCTATTATTATTATTAACCCTGCAATTAGCTTGTTGAGTATTTCTGGCCCTGGAGTAAAATCTAAATCAATTTATTAGGAACAAGACTTTCACTGAGTCTTCTGTTTAGTTACATTAGCTACTGTATTCCTAGTTTTCCCACCACACCATCCCCCTAATATTAACTTCAACATTTATTTAAGGACAAGCTTTTGATGATAGCATAAGATGGATGTCATTGGCTGGTGGTGTGGTTTATGGGGTCATGTTACAATGGCTGA